GAGGTAAAATTCTTAAAGGCATCATCTTTATGAGCAAGGAATATCACCCAAGTATATCTAGAATAGTCATCAACAATCACAAAACAGTATCTCTTACCACCAAGGCTTGCAGTCTGTGTAGGACCAAACAGATCAAGGTGCAGAAGTTCAAGTGGTTTTGAAGTAGAAACACATTTCTTAGGTTTAAAAGAAACCTTGACTTGTTTTCCAAATTGGCAAGCATCACAAATTCTGTCTTTTTCAAATCTAATTTTTGGAAGACCTCTAACAAGTTCCTTTTTAGAAATTTCTTTCAGCAAATCCATATTGAAGTGACACAACCTTCTATGCCACAACCATGGGTCCTCATTTGCTACTTTGAGACATTTGAGATATGAGGAATCAAATTTTTCAAGAAAAACTACATAGACATCATTAACTCTTTTTCCTTTGAAAATAATGTTGAACTTTGAGTCAAATATGAGACATTCAAGCTTTTTGAACAATACAAACAGATTCCTATCACACGATTGGCTAACACTTAACAGATTGTAGCTCAAATTGTCAACAAGAAGAACATTGTGGATAAAAGTTTGATCATTCTTACCAACATCGCCAATACCAACAGTCTTGGCTTTGTTATCATCTCCAAACGTTACCTTTCCACTTGCTTTTTGCTTGAGTTTAATGAATTGTGATGCATCACCAGTCATATGTCTTGAGCATCCACTATCAATGAACCATTTTGATTTTTTGGCAATGTTATCCTGGTTCACCTACACACAAACCCACAATATAATACTTGGTACCCTTTACATATTGGGTCCTTGAGAGTTAGTCTTATGTTTAACTACCCACATGCATCTCATGCCATTCCTCATGTTTTTCTTAACATGACAGTTGCTATTCATGTGACCAGATTGACAACAAAAGTTGCATACTGACATTGGATCAATCAAATGAACAGGTTTAATGAATCTGACTTGCCTTCTTCTGTGGATAGCAAACTCATTTGTATTTTGGTTCAGTCTTATTTGATGAGTATTAACATAAGGTACAGTGTCATTCTTTTGAAGATGGTTCTGTTTCAAATGATGTAACAATTGACATAAGTCATCCAACCTTTTTCTTAAGCTGCATTGCTCACTTCTGAGTATGTCACAGTAATTTTTCTTTTTGTAAAGTTCAGCAAGCACATCAGACTCAGTCCTTTTCAGGTTATCATTTTCATACTTAAGACATTTGTTTTGTCGAAAAAGATTTGCATTGTCTTGTATTAGAAAGCTAATTTTTTGCCTCAGTTCCTTGTTTTTAACATAGGATTCTTTCAATCTGTTATGCATTTTTTCTAGAAAAGAATTAACATCATCATCAGATTCACTATCACTATCGATTTGAGAGTTGCATTGTGTTACCTCTTCATCTCCAATAGCCATGAAAGCCACTTGAGCAGATTCCTCTTCTTCTTCAACTTCGCCTTCTGAGTTGCAATCATTCCAGGTAATTTGGAAATTGTTGAACTTTGGTTTTCGTTCAATCTTGTTTTCCTTCTTTTTCTTCATTGGACACTCATTTGCATAATGTCCAGGTTGGCCACATTCAAAATATTTATCATTTTGCTTCTTGTTGAACTCTAGTTTCCCTCTATTTCTGAAGTCATTAGTCTGATTCTGGAAAGAATTGCTGGATCCGCCTTTCCTGAATATTCTCTTATTGAGAAATCTTTTGAAGCCTCTTGTGATGAGTGCAATATCACTGTCATCACCTTCCAAGTCATTTTCATCCAGTGAGGCTGTTTCATCTTCATCTTGTGAAGCTTTCAGAGCAATACTCTTCCTTCCTTTTGTGTCTTCTTCTTCCTGCATCTTAGATTTAAGTTTCAGTTCGTAAGAAGTTAGAGAGTTAATCAGAGATTCAATGGATAAGGAATTTAGATCCTTGGCTTCTTCTATGGCAGTCACTTTGTTTTCCCAATCCTTTGATAGAGCATTCAGAATTTTTCTGTTCTTTTCACCTAGAGAGTACTCCTTCTCAAGCACCTCTAAATCCTTGATCAGATCATTAAATCTACAATACATTTTGTCGATGTTTTCATGAGGTTCCATCTTAAAAGATTCATACTTGGTAACCAGAATAGACTTTTTCTGTTCTCTTACGTTGTCACTACCCTCATGAATTTCTCTTAGCTTATCCCACATTTCTTTGGCAGATTTACACCCTTTTATTCTAATTGACTCATTTGAGTCTAAGGCACTATAAAGAACATTCATGGCTTTGACATTCAATGTGAGATTGGTTCTATCTTGAGCATTCATCTCAGCTCTCGTTTTTGGCCGCAACAACCCTGTTTCTGCATCAAGAAAGTTAGCATCATGCGGTCCTTCATTCACAATAAACCACAGCTCAATATCAATGGATTGCAAGAAGATAATCATTCTTTCTTTCCAACTAACATAATTGGAACCAGTAAACATGGGAGGCCGAGTAACAGATTGCCCCTCAACAAACATAGCATGACTGGTTGTCATCTTTACTCCAAGCCGCTTGAGTTTAATCTCTAGGAGACCAAGCTCTGATACCAATTGTAAGGATCGAAGATAACTTAAGAGGGGGGTGAATTAGGCTTTCAAAAAAACCTGCTAAGATATAGTCCACTTTTTCACAGACTGCCTTTCTTTTCTCAAATACCTCCCAATGAACGAGATAACACAAGAGCACAAGTATTCGTGAGATGAAGAGAAGAACAGTTTATGTAGAAAAGCAGTAAATGAAAGTAAAGAAACAAACCGGGCTTCAAACACAACTGAGGTTTGAACACCACTTTTATATACCAAATTACTTCAAGTTGAACAAACTTGCAACCAATCTTTTGTGTACAAGGAAGGGATCACTTCCTTCTTGCCCCAAACCACACTTGGTCAAGCAAGGAAGTTTTACAAACACTCGCAACCCTCACTATGCTACACTATTGAAGAAGCTGTGTCACACTTGAAAAACTACACGAAGATTACACAAGCAAAGAGTACAAATGTTCCTTTTGCGTATTCTAACACTAGAATCACTCACAAACTGATGTAGGCTTGATGTGTAAAGTTCTCTTTAGGTGGTTGACTATGTTCTACTTATAGGAGACCAGAAAGTTATTCAATTAATGCTGTCAACGGGTAGAAGGCAACTGAAGAGTCAACTAGCCGTTGGTGCTGTCGGACGTCCGATACACAGGTGTTGAGCGTCCGATCCTGATCAGTAATCAAGTAACTCCTGGCTTGTCTTCTTCGGACGTCCGAGTCTGAGTTCTTTATTCGTCCTAAGATACTCAAAGAATGTCGGACGTCCGATACTCTCCTTTTGTGCGTCCGACATCATCCTCAGCAGACTTCATTCTTTTTGATCTTCTTTTTCTGCTTTAAATCCACAGACCTGTTTGGTTCATTTCTGAAAAAGGATCTCTACAAAAGGTATTAGAAACATCCAATTATTTTGTAATCATTAAAAGATATGAGTTGAGATAAATAGTAAGTGGCTCCGGCATTTTTCAATCCAAACGGCATTACTCAGTAGCAAAATGTCCCCCATGGCGTGACAAAAGCAGTTTTCTCCCTATCTTCCTCTGCCATTAAGATCTGGTGATATCCAGCGAAACAGTCAGCAAATGATTCAATCTCATGCCCTGCGGTATTGTCCAGAAGAATATGAATGTTCGGCAACGGAAAATCATCTTTCGGGTTGGCTTTATTAAGATCCATGTAATCGACACAGACTCGCACTTCTCCACTTTTCTTTGGAACAGGTACAGGGTTTGAAAGTCAAATGGGATAATGAGACACCATAATGATTCTAGCATTGAGCTGCTTCTCGATTTGCTCCTTAATTTTGAGGCTCATGTCTGGCTTAAACTTGCGAGGTTTTTGTTTTACTGGTGGAAAATTCGGATCGGTTGGCAATCAATGGACCACTATATCTGTTGAAATTCCAAGCATATCATTATAGGACCAGGCAAACACATCTTGAAACATGGTCAAAAACTCAATTATTTCTTTTCTCTGTTTCTTATTCAAATGAATGCTAATTTTTATCTCATTAACCTCAGTCTCAGTGCCAATATTAACAACTTCTGTTTCTTCTAAGTTCGGTTTGGATTTCTCCTCATATTGTTCAAAATCCTTTAATCAAGACTCAGATTCTTCCTTGTTATCGCTCTCGTCTCGAAATTTCGGATTCCAAAATTTCGAATTCGTGAGGGATATCGAGACCACAATCATCAAATTCCAGAATAGTGATATCCAAAGGGTCAATGTGTTTTATTTTTGACCATTTGAAAAAGAATAAAATAAATACAATAGTAAGTAAGTTAAAACAATTTGGACAATAAACACTGTGCATTTCATTGAAATTCAAAGTAAAGGATAACATCATGACATGCTACTTAACAAGAAATTTAACGCAAGACTTGCATTGGAAAACATTTGATTAAAAACTATTTACAAACTTGAAAGACAAAAGATAAGTAGTATGAACGATTTGTCTCATGTCGACCAAAGGCAATCCCCTAATTTACCGAAATTCCCTGCAGGAGGGAAGGAGATCACTGGTCCAGTTCTTCATTGCTTCAATAGGCACCTCTGGAAATCTTGGGTCCTCCAACGGCTCCCCTTCAGAAGTAACCCCCACAAATAGCTCAGATAATCCGACCTCCACTTCCTCGATCGAGTCTACTTCAGATCTAATCACCTCTGATGGGTAAGGAAAAGTACAGTACAATGGTGGGATATTCATGATAAGCTGTCTCCCTTCCTTTTCCGCCCTTTTGCGATCCGACATTTCTTTCTTATCTCTGGCAGTAGGTTGAAACCCTAATCCAAAAGTGTCCTTCTTTCCTTGAAGCTCTATTGGTTCCAAAACTCCTTGTAGGTTGCGCCCAAGACCCTTGCCCATCTTATATCCTCCTCGAATCATCTCTTTAGCCATCATAACACTAGCTTCCGACAAATTCATTTCCACCGCTGGCTTCTCCTTAGATATCATCCCACAGAGACAATGTCAGCCACATGGTGAGGAGAAACCAGAGATTCTATACTATTTTCCCCATTTGTTCCAGAATTAACAATCATTGTACAATCATCTTCTGCAAAAACTGTAATCAATTGGCCATTCGCGACAAATCTCAACATTTGATGGAGCGAAGATGGTATAGTGTCCGAAGTGTGAATCCAAGGCCGTCCAAGAAGAACGTTGTAAACACTTGAAAAATCCATGACTTGGCACATGACTTGAAATTGGGCAGGTCCGATCTCCAGCACTAAATCCACCTCCCCCATTGATTCCCTTCTCGCGCCATCAAATCCTCTCACTACGGTGGTAGACGGCCGCAATTTAGCCTCTTGAAACCCTAACTTAATCAAGGTATTCCAGGGACAGATATTGAGGGTGGATCCATTGTCTATCAGAACTTTTGACAAAAGTTTCCCGTTACAGCGGACTGAGATATACAAGGCTTTGTTGTGTCCAATCCCTTCGGCAGTTAGATCTTCATCAGGAAAAGAAATCCGATTGGGAGCCAAAACATGTTCAACTACATTGGTGAATTTGTCAATTGGAATGTTTTTAGGAACTTGAGCCTCATTTAACACTTTGAGTAAAGCTGTTCTATGAAGTTCAGAAGTCAACAGTAGGTTTAACATAGAAATTTGAGCAGGCATTTTGTCCAATTGCTCAATCACTTTGTATTCGCTCTTCTTCAACATCTTAAGGAAATTAAAGGCCTCTTCGTCTGTCACAACTGGTTTTGTTGGCATAGCACTTTCTTTTGCTTTTGAAGATTCATCAACTGCGGGTTCCCCTATAATTCTTCCAGATCTAGTAATAGCATCCACCTCCTTCTTGGACACTTCCTCTCCTCCAATTAGCAATGTAGGCTCGCTATAATTCCATGAGATCTCTTGCAAATTAAGAACAGGAACTTGCTCAGGCAATTCAAGTACCACGAGCTCCGAAGGCTCACATTCGAAAGGTATCATTTCCAGAATAAATGGGTCAGTATTTTCCTTGGCTTCATAGGCTTCTTCCTCCAGTATGAACGGTTCTCCGATGACCCCTATTATCTCAGCTTTGTCTACAATGTACTGTGTAGGTTCCTCACTCTCTTCCTCTGTGTTAACAGCTCCTACGGTATCTTTGTGTGCGGGAAGAGGATTGTTGCTAACACTTGGCCTTTGTTCATCCCTCATTCTCAGAACTATGTCTCCGGCCTCGATCATATCTTGGATTTTATGCTTAAGCGCCCAGCAATTGGCCGTTGAATGTCCAGGGGCTCCCGAATGATAAGCACAAAATGACTGAGGATCATAACCAATGGGAAATTCTTTGGAATAGGTCTTAGGGGGTACCGTACTAATCTTCCCAGCAGCTTTCAATTGCTCATATAACTGGTCAACAGGCCGACCTAGATTGGTAAATGTTCGGTATGTGGTTGGATTTTGGGTGTCACTGGTTTGTTGATAGTGGTAATTTGGATTGAAGGGTGGAATAGGTCTTGGGTTGAAAGGAGGGCGCGGTCTAATTTGGAAGTTTGGTGGGAAAATGTGAAATGGCGTTGACGGTGTGTTTGGGTAATTTAGTCAAGGACGGGGGTGGCTAATTGTGGTATTGTAAACAGGTCGAGGGCATGGTTGGTATAGGTAACGGGGTGAGTAGGCGGAATTTTGTTGGTATGTAGGCCGGGAAGAAGAACCTTGGTTCCAAACAAAGGAAGCTTCCTCGTCTTTCTTCTTAAACTGAGACTTTTTACCGCTGCTGTTTTGGCTTTGCATAGCTTCCAACTGCGACTTTAAAGCTGAAACATTAACAATCTTGCCTGCTCTCATAAACTCGTCATACTCTTCCAATTTGTTGACAATCTCAGCAAAGGAACAACCAGTCATACGAAAAATCTCTTCAAAGTAGGGTGGGTCATGAGCTTTGATAAATGTGCGAACAATTTCATTTTCGGTCATGGGAGGCTCCACCTTGGCGGCCAGCTTCCTCTATCTTTTTGCATACGTCTTATGGTCCTCCGATGGTTTCCTCTTGGTTCCCTTCAATGTGGTTCTCGTCGGAGCGAGCTCGCAATTATATTCATACTGCCTTACAAAAGCGGTTGACAAATCCATCCAAGCCCTCATATCCTCAGGCTTCAAATTTGAATACCAATCCAACGCGTCGCCTTCTAGACTCTCGGGAAATAAATGCACAGGCAGATTCTCATCATCTATCGGCTTTCCAAGTTTGTTTGCAAACATCCGAAGGTGTGTTTTAGGATTGCCAGTTCCATCGTACTTGCTAAATTTGGGCGCTTTGAAACCCATTGGCAATTGCATATCCGGAAATAGGCATAACTCGTTGTAGTCCAGACCTCCCTGCTTGCTCAAATCTTGGCTTTTCCTTATAAATTCCTCAAATCGATCCAATCTTTTTAGCAAGTTCTTATCAATCGGCGCGGATGATTCCCCAGCTTCAGCTTTCACTAGGACGGCAGTATCTAAGGTGAATGGCTCAGCGGTGGAGTAGTAATGTGGTCCTTGAGGTTCGAATGGCATGCTCATAGTGATTGGCGGATAATTCTGGGGAATTTGGGCATGAGAAGGGTTAATTTGGATGTTAGGTGCATAAGTAGGTGGTGGGCCATGAGTGGGATAGGTAAAGATTTCTTCAGGTGGGTTCATAACTTGTGAAGTAATAGAGGTTTGAGTATAAGGTAAGAGTATGGGTTCAGATTGGCCTGGGGGTAAGGGTTCATGTTGTTGCTCACCGCTAGCACTACCAGTGACCAATTGGTCGATCACGCGCCGTTGGGCCATCATTTCAACGCTTAACTCATTAAATCGGTTTAGAACTTCGCTCAGCTGAGCTCCCAGATTCGCCAAGTCAGTTGCTGATGTCGTCGCGGGTCTATCAGATGGTTCTGGATGGGTACTCATGTTTACACTATCTCTTGAAGCTCGGCTACGCGATCGGGTGATAATGGGGCTTTTTCGGGTAGCTATATTTGCAATTACCACCTGAAAATGTAGGAAAATCCCTGTTAAAAGCCCATCTCGATCGACTGTTGTTAAGAAGAAAGAAAAAGAAAAAGAAAAAGACAGGAGTTAGTAATAATTTAGAGTAACTCGGATGCATGTCCTAGTGGAGGGCCCTTTTTGTGCCAAGGGTAGGCCTAACGTGATGCAATACCTTCGGGGTAAAATCCCAATTTCAAACCTGTAAGTGAATATAAAAGCAGAAATTCTCATTAAACATTGATAAACTCAATCCTTTTTTACAATCTCATTGATGGTTCGACTGACCATTCTTACAAAATCCTCATGTCTAGCTAATCTAGTGTGTTGAGATTCCCTAGAACTCCCTATACTAAGCTTCCGAATCTCAATTTGGATTTTATCGAATGCACCCAATGCCTTTTCCAATTTCTCGGATTTCCTTGCCTCTCTCTTCAATTGTGATCGAGCGTCTTCCAAGGCTTGATCGGCTACTATAATCTGCAATTGATGATCCTCCAATTCTTTCCTTAATTTCTCATTCTGCTCTTCGAGACTAACGGAGACCAACGGTACCCTTTCTCTTCCTTGTTCCATTATTGATTTGATCCAGTCGTTGTACTCCAAGATGACCTTAGGCTCTACTTTATTCACTTGGTCCAAATGCAGGTTGTCCAAACTACACAGATTCCCCCAAGATTTCAGCACCATACTCCGGCACTCAGCAACTGTATTGAGTTCGATGCTTCCCACTCCTTGTATGGTCGGCACTCGCTGCGGATACCCAAACTGTCTCATAACTCGTTGTGGCACATACATTATCAATCCACCGGTGCTCGCTAACGGGATGAAGCCAAGTTGTGTAGTCTTGAAAGCTAGATCCCTTACTTTCGTCCAATCAAGAACCCATTGTATCTTATCCGAAGTCAAAGCATCGAATTCCTGAATAAACAAACTCGGAGACTCTATTCGATAGTATCTTTTAACTCTTTCTCGGTGCGACTCAATCCAATTTGCTGTTGGAAGACATGACCCTAATGGATTTAGTGTTCTTTTTGACAGATGCTCCATTGCCCACATTTGAAGTATCAGGTTGGATGCGTAGAAAAACCCTCTCTTCTTTCGGCATTCAGTAACAGCGACGAAGATGTCAGCAATGATAACGGGTACTAGGGTGGGAGTTTTTCCTTTAATTCCCAAAAACACACTCTGAACCATGTTGATCGTTGAGAAAGTAACTTTTCCATGCTTTTGCGGAAACATGAGTAGATTAATCAGGGTTATTCCAAAGGCTTGTACTCGTTTCTCCTCCCACTGCTCTCTACGAATGAAGAAATCCTCGTGGTGACGGTCATAAGCTTCCTTTTCCCCAAATCGCGTGTATAAGAACTCCAGTGGGCATGATCTCGCGTCCGGGTGTTAGTTCATGCTAAATTGTTTCAACCCTAAGAACCTACAAAATTGTTCTCGGGTGCCATTTGTTGGGTATACCATGGGGTGACTTTTCCCAGGTATTTGCAATAATCATTCTATTTCCTCCAGGGTTGGTGTTAATTCGCACTCTCCAAATCGGAAAACGGAGCCGTCCGGATCCCAGAACTCGAGCAAAGCTTGGATAATGGCTATATTCGGGGTTATGTTCAGGAGACTAGGTAAATGTCCTATATACTAGAAAAGTCTATTCACTTCATGTGCCATATTGTTCTTCCAATCTACCAGCTCACGAGGTATCTGATTTAACATTCTACATGGAGCCATCTGGGAGGAAATTCACTTTTAGTACCTTACCCTGGGATTTTACCCCTTAGCTAATACAGAAATAGTAAACATGTAAGTCCCATTGGATTAAATATCCGAGACATGTGGTGGCTTATTCCTAACACGGGATTCCCTATGTGGCATTCCCTTTCTATGGTTTATGCGTGATGCCAGTTTATGAAAACAGTAAAATATGCAATTCGAAATGAAACATGACCTAAGGAACCATTTATTTGCCAGGGTTGGCCTAAAATGATATGGCATTATTAATTTATGAACAAAATATACCAAAATTTCTTAAACGTGCAATGGCCTATCTACAAGGGTAGGTCCTAAAAGAAGATCATGCCAGACCTTTTATCTCTTAATGTTTGTGAATGCAAAAGGCAAGAAACAAGGAAAGTTAGCTCAACACATAACACATTGTGGCAATTCAATAATAATAAAACATAGAAAGCAGAAATAAGGTGAGAGGGTTGGGATCCCTCCCCTCGTGCATAGTGTCCCTAGTTTAGGATAAGGTCGACTCTATCCTAAGCAATTCTAATATGGATGCATGAGGTTTGGCTCACTAATGCATCTAGACTCAATCAGGTTTCGACTCCCAAGCCTTCAGACCTAAAGGCGAAGGGTCATCACTCCCAGGGCCTTTGATCGGTGGCTCGAGTGATCCCTTAGGTAGCGCTATGGGCGCAAAGCACACCATCCGCCTACCCAAGGCAATCGATCCTAATCCTACAAGGAGTTGTGGGAAACGCCCACGAAAAAGAAAAAATAGGGTAAATAAAACTAAGCATGCACGTATGAGGTGCTTTCTTATTGAGGGGAGGGATTGTACCATTAGATGCGGTCGAAGGTTCTAGGGTAACTACCCCCCATCCCAAAATGCAATCGCGAAACAAGTAAAAAGTAAACAAATAAATGAACCATCCATTCATCACATACATAGTGTGTGAAGAGCGATTGTACGCGTGATAGATGCAAAATCCCTAAAAAGAGAAAAAGGGCAAAAGGAAAAGAAGAATGCAACCCTAAACATCCAAATGCGATATATGAGAAGGTTAAAAGAAGAAAAAGATTGACTAAATCAAATTTGTTCGGACTCTCTAAATCCCCAGTGGAGTCGCCAGCTGTCGCACCCCATTTTTTATAAAATAAATAAATGATTTAAAAAGTGAATTTTGATTTGAAAAATGAATAAAGAGCACGGATCTAAATGGGACTTGAAAATGCGACGTTTTGACCCAAAATAATAATTTTAAAAAGGGTTTTTGAAATAAAAATTGGAGTCGCCACTTGGTATTGAGTTAAGGTGTACCAAATCACCTAAAAAATGAATTTTTAAGGAAAAATAGAAAAACCCTTTTAAACGACTCCTAAGTCTACGAAAAATCAGAGAAAGTGTTCGGGAGTCACATTTGATGAGAGGGAAGGCAAGGACGAAATCCAAGGCACCCTCTCAACCTAGCCAAGGCTAGTTGCGCGATTTAGTCAAAAATTTTCTTATTTTTAACCTAAAAATTTATCACATTTTGGAGATATCTACAAGAATGCAAACCCTAGATCTAGGAGGGTGTCGGGGGTTCGAAATTTCTCTTCAAAGCTTGAATGGTACCAATCACATTAATTGTGACGCCCAATGAAGACTTTTCGAAGAAGTCACGAATAATGCAAAAATATGAGACTCCAAGAAAAGAAAAAGGATAAAATAATTATAGAAATATACATGACACAAAGGGATGCATCATGTCGGGTACGGGAGACTAATGTTCGTGACTCAATTTTCCCTTTTTATAGAGGGAATACGAGCGTGCTAAGGCTAGAAAAGCCAAACTCGTCCATATCCCATACTCAAGGGGTTATTCCCTAATCTAATCAAGCAAATGCACTACCCTAATCCTAATTCTAAAATGAAATTCAATTCTAATGTTATGTATCATACATAGGGGTATATATATAGGAAAATTAGGGATAAGGGCTATATGTATAAGGGGAATATCACACAAAATGATAAAAGACCCTAGAAAGTGAAAAATATGCATGAGATGAAGTGATTTTTATCATACAATTATGATCTAACGCTCAAAGGGCTCCTAAGGGTCTAGCGTTGGACTAACCCATGTCTACAGATTCTCACTAGTGTTGGACTAGTGAAAAATCGGAACAAAGAGCCACAACTAGCATTGGACTAGTGTGGATTCGGAAAAGGGGGGCCACAACTA